ATTTCTTTACCATATACTTATTTTTTTGTTAAAAATGCCTAAACAGAGTAAAAGAAATCAACATTTACAAAAAGCACATGAAACCAAAAAATTGAAAATTATTGAGCCTATTACAGATGAATATATTGATAAGGAGGTATTTGAAAATGAATCTAGATTAGAAATTGAAGAGTTAATATATGAAAACATTGAATCTGATGATGATTGGAGAGATTTATCTTTAACTACAGAATTAGAATCTGCATTTTCAAAATTAATTAGAATTAGCAACAAAAGTGATACTTTGGAATCTAAAGGTAGACCTCTGATATATACTGGTGCAGCAGAAGAGACTATTAGACAAAAACAAAGAATATTAAAAAATGCTGCTAAAGGAACATCTAAAATAACAACTTTTTTTCAGGTAAAAAAAAATGAAAAAATAAAATAATTATCAAAATATTCAAAATAAAAAAATAATGTAATTTATCAATATTTATTTATCAGGCATCTTCTGGTAACATTAAAGATTCTAATCAAAATGAATTACAACAAAACCATTTATATTCAAATGACAGTGAAGATGAACTTGAAGAAAATATATCTAATTTTTCTCTAGAAAATCTTGAGTTAGACTTGCAACAAAAGAAGATAAATGATATTAGATTGCAATATGTTGCACAATATCTTCGTCTTACAAAAAATGGACATTCAAAGCTTTCTGCAAGTCTGCTTATTTCTGAATCAATAAATCATGGCCCTTGGATGGCCAGATTAATCAGATCTTGGGCAAACCAGTATTTATCAGATGGGGCTCTTTTGGTTTCTAGGCATGGAAAACATCAGAAAGTAGTTAGTATTTTAAATGATGAAGACATAATTATAAAGATTAATCAATACCTTCATGTTCAAAAATTCAACCTTAAGATTCCAGACTTTATTAATTATATTTCTGATGAAATTTTTCCTTTTGTTGGATATGAAAAAAATAAGAAAATCAGTGAAGCAACAGCTAGACGATGGTTGAAGAAGATGGGATGGGAATATAAAGCTCATAGTAAAGATCTATATTTTGATGGTCATGAGCGACCAGATGTAGTGGAATATCGGAAAGAATTTATAGAGAAAATGGAATCATTAGAAAGATACATGCCAGTATTTGAAGGTGAAAATATGAATGAAGAAAAATGGCCTTCTTTGGAACAAGATGAAAAATTTCATCTTTTAGTTGTGCATGATGAATCTACTTTTTTTTCCAATGATGGTTTGAAAAAGTTTTGGGCTCCAGAAGGTGAACAACCTCTAAGACCCAAAACTCAAGGAAGTAGTCTTCATGTGAGTGAATTTTTATGTGAAACAATAGGTAGGTTGAAATTAGATCAACAACAAAGAGAAATTAATAATAATCTACCTGAGTCAGAAAGAATCCCTGAAGAGGCATGTGTTGTTATGAGACCTGGAAAGAATAGAGATGAATATTGGAACAATAATAAATTGGCTAGACAGGAATTTATTTTTTTTTATTTTATTTTATTTTATTTCATTTCATATAATATATCAATTAATACTTATCTTGTTTTTAGTTACAAGAGAGAGCAATTCCAATATTTGAGAAAATGCATCCAAATTGTATTGGTGTTTTTGCATTCGATCAAAGTTCTTGCCATACTTCTTATGCTGTAGATGCATTGATTGCTTCAAGAATGAATCTAAGTTCTGGTGGAGGACAGCCAAAGATGCGTAATGGAAGAAAAAGGGATGGTACATGTCAGTCTATGGTCCTTGAAAATGGAGAGCCAAAGGGAATGAAAATAGTTTTAGAAGAGAGAGGTTTATGGAGACCTGGTCTAATGAGAAAGTGTAGAAGTTGTAGAAACAATGAACCCTCTGATCAGGTAGAATGCTGTGCATTTAAAATTATATCATTGGAACCAGATTTTATGGAGCAAAGGCCTCTTTTACAAGAGATTGTTGAGAATGCAGGACATAAAATTATTTTCTTTCCTAAATACCATTGCGAGCTAAATTACATTGAAAGTTTTTGGGGGGCTGCCAAAAACTATACAAGAAAAAACTGTAATTATTCTTGGGAAGGTTTACAACAAACTGTACCATTAGCCCTTAATTCTGTCTCTCTCTGTAAAATTCGTAAATTTGCAAGAAGATGTTATAGGTTTATGAGTGCCTATAGGATGAGACTTTCTGGTAAAGCAGCTATTTTTGCGGTTAAAAAATATCATTCTCATAGAAGAGTTCCCGAATCTGTTTTAATGGAATTTCACGAATCACGTGAATCACGTGAATATTCTTTATAACGCGAAAATATTCTGTAAATCGCGTAATGATCGGCGGTGAATTTTTTTTTTTAATAGTAAAAATGACAAACTTTAAACTGCCATAACTTTTTTCATTTTGATAAATTTTAAAAAAACTCTATTAGATTTTTCCTTAGATCTTATAAAATCGAACTATAGAGAGTTTTTTTTTTAATCCTGCTTAGTTATTGAGCTTATACATTTTAAAGTTTAGCTGAAATTTTGATGTCTTTAGATGATC